CTCCAGCTACCACCTCGCTTCATCTCTTCTCGCACCTCTTGTCTTCGCTCCTATGCGTTCTTCCCCTCCGCTCCCTCCCCCCCTTCCCCCATTCCGTATCCGATACACCTGTCCTGCCCTCAAGGGTGCACCAGCCGTCTTTCAGCGCCCTACCTCCCCTCCCCCCCCATCGCCTCTTTCATCCCTTTTCCCCGTCGATTGCTAGGAAGTCACCACTATCCGCGCCTCCACCCCCATGTACCTGCTCTATCGCAAGATCAAGGCCATGGGCATCAAGATGGTGCTCAGTGGCGAGGGCAGCGACGAGGAGTTTGGCGGTTACCTGTACTTCCACGGCGCCCCCGACAAGAAGGCGCTCCACGAGGAGACGGTTCGCCGCGTCAAGAACCTGCACCTTTCTGACTGCCTGCGCGCCAACAAGTCGACGTCGGCCTGGGGTCTGGAGGCTCGCGTGCCCTTCCTGGACAAGGAGGTGAGTAGGCCTCAGCGGGGTTTCCTCCTGCTCCCGTCTCTGACGATGCACTGAATGAGTATATGCTGACATGTGACGCAGTTCCTTGAGGTTGCCATGAACATCGACCCTCAGGAGAAGATGATCACCAAGGAGAGGCTCGAGAAGTACATCGTCCGCAAGGCCTTTGACACCTCGGACGACCCCAGCGCGGAGCCTTACCTGCCCGAGAAGATTCTCTGGAGGCAGAAGGAGCAGTTCTCCGACGGTGTTGGATACGGGTGGATCGACGCGCTCAAGGACAACGCCGAGAAGCACGTGACGGACGAGATGATGAAGAACCCCAAGCCCGAGTGGGGCAACGATATCCCCGACTCCAAGGAGGCGTACTGGTACCGCACCATGTTCGACGAGCACTTCCCCGCGTCGTGCGCGTCGACGGTCGTGAGGTGGACCCCTACCTGGTCCAAGCAGACCGACCCCAGCGGAAGGTGAGTCTCAACAAGTCTGCGGCTAGGAGCAAAGATGATGCATAAGAAGGACCACTGTACTAACGCGTTGCATGACAGAGCCATTGCCATCCACGAGCAAAAGTACGACACTGCATGAGCGTGCAATTTTGGGGCGGATGGCGAGGAGGGGTAGACCCTAGCCTAGGTACCTAGGTAGCAGGCTGGAGGGGTAGATTTTGCATCGGGGTTTCAGGCTTTTAGAGGCGCTGGTGCCGCCAAAGATCTTTGTGTGTGGGTTTGGACAAAAATACGAAGACCGGCGGCCTAAATACCTTGGTTGATAGAATGACCTGGATGAATCTGACTGACGCGAGGTGGTGATGACAAGCTTGCTCCCTTGTGTGACGCTCGTAAGGTCGTAAGGACGTTAGGACGTTGACTGTGTGGGGTCAGGTTCAGTGACACGCTGACTTTAATGATGCTTGATGCAAGAGCGACAGGTGACAGGGTAGGCAGGGGTTCTGGTGGCAGGCGGTGTTCCTGGCAGGTCAGACTAGGCACGAAGGGTGCATTGGTCTTGCAGATATGGAACAGATGGTGAAGGAGGCAGGTGGACGCTGCTGCCAACTGACACAGCAACGTTTTTGAGGCCCCGTGCCTCTGTCGCCTGTTGCCTGTTGCCTGCCGCCTGCTACCTAGGTACCTACCTTATGTACCTAGGTACATCACTCACTCCCTCTTTCACTTCCCCGCCAATTTACACCACTAGGCACTAGATACAGTTTGCCTTTCTGAGCCCTTCATACTCGGGCTTCAAAGCGCATTTGCATCAACGCATGCCTGCAACCAGGTAGATCCCCAACATTGTTACTTGGGAGGACTCATCGACCCTTCGCATTGCATCACCTGCACCCAAGCTTCAAAGCGACCAATCAACCATCCGCTGCAACCCCCCACGTGGAGCTACACACGTCTCGTTCTGGCGTAGCTGTTTCTCTTGGTCACATATCCCGGACCGAGTTCAGCCGGGATTGCCCGTCAGCCAATCGACACGTCCCAAACAATTTTCCTGAGTCGTTCCCCCAATTCCCTAGATCGACTCCTTCGGCTCTCCTCCTGAAAAGGACAACCATCATCGCATTCCCATTCCCCAAGAGAACCTCACATCCTCATCATACCTTTCATCCCCAAGCTCTTCCTCTCCTCTACCTTCATCATGTCTGTCCCCAACTTTGCCGACATCGCCAAGGCGAGCAACGATGTACGTCTCGCATGCCTGGCCTGACTGGTCCGGGAAGCTTCGCGCATCTGGGTGGGATTCGCTTGATCCCACCTATGCGCGCCGCATTGCACCCTTTCCAGAGCTTGCTCGCCACCATCAGCTCCCAGCTCGACGCCAGCAGCTAACCACCTCGGTGTAGCTCCTCAACAAGGATTTCTACCACCTCTCTGCCGCCACCCTTGAGGTCAAGAGCAACACCCCCAACAACGTTGCTTTCAAGGTCACCGGCAAGACTTCTCACGAGAAGGCCACCGCTGGAGCTGTAAGTCGCGCTCTCCCTGCCTCTCCATAATCCCCGAGGCAACCACGAAAATTATGGCACGATCATCGGCTGACCATCACCATCACACAGATTGAGGGCAAATACTCCGAGAAGGCTTCCGGTACAGCAAAATCACCCCGAAAAAAGAAGCCGCCGAAAGGAACAACCGGCGTTCATCGTATTCGACGCCTAGATCTCCAAGTGGCTCGGATCTACGGCTTCGGCTACGGAACACCGATCCAATTCGGCGCATGCATCGCCCCCGGATTCGCACAGCTGCTAATGTTCTATCACCGTACAGGCCTCACCCTTACCCAGACCTGGAACACCGCCAACGCCCTTGACACCAAGGTCGAGCTCGCCGACACCCTTGCCAAGGGCCTCAAGGCCGAGGGTGTCTTCTCCTTCCTCCCCGCCACCCAGGCCAAGGGCGCCAAGTTCAACCTGCACTTCAAGCAGCCCAACGTCCACGGCCGTGCCTTCTTCGACCTCCTGAAGGGCCCCACCGCCAACATTGACGCCGTCGTCGGCCACGAGGGTTTCCTCGCCGGTGCTTCTGCCGGTTACGACGTCAACAAGGCCGCCATCACCGGCTACTCCGCCGCCGTCGGCTTCACCGCCCCCGCCTACACCGCTGCCATCACCGCCACCGACAACCTCAGCATCTTCGCTGCCTCTTACTACCACAAGGTTAACAGCCAGGTCGAGGCCGGTGCCAAGGCCACCTGGAACTCCAAGACCGGCAACAACGTCGGCCTTGAGGTTGCCTCCAAGTACCGCATCGACCCCGTCTCCTTCGCCAAGGTCAAGGTCAACGACCGTGGTGTTGCCGCCCTCGCATACAACGTCCTCCTGCGCCCCGGTGTCACCCTCGGCCTCGGCGCCTCTTTTGATACCCAGAAGCTTGACCAGGCTACCCACAAGGTCCGTTATGTTGTATCTTGCACAAATGCGAATAGTATGCTAATATGTCACAGCTCGGTGCCAGCTTCACCTTCGAGGGTTAAGCATATCCCCATCCCCTCCCTGCCTCCCCGGATAGCATGGTCAAATAAGGTTATACCGATCTCCATTCATCCGTTGTTATCAACACCTCTCTTCCGCTCGGGCGGTTGCTTGTTTCGATGTAGACTAGTTCTCCTGAGAGTAATGGAACCTCACGAAGGCGGTCATCCCGTCTCGTACCACCCAACATTGACGTTCGCATCATGTGGAGCAATTTGTATGATTGTGATGATTTGTATTATCGCGAGATTTCAATGTCTAACAACTGTATTTTCGAGTGGGTTTCTTCTACGCCGTCTTGCTCCTCGACTTCTCAACGTCCTTCTTCCGCCGACGGCCCTGCGTCAAGCCGCCAAAGAAGACGTACGGCAGGAAAAACGTCAGGAACAGATGCCGCTGATGGCGAAGAACAGGCGGAAGCCGAGTCGCCCGACCCGCTCGCATATTCCAGAATTAATTCTTATTCTAGGAATTAACCTATCTGACTTATATTTATAATATGAGTAGTAGCCTTGGTAAGGAATGTATGGCTAGGAGACAGTTTATGTGGGGCACAGACCCTTA